ACGTTGCTGTCTCAAGAAATGGTCTTTCAATAGTTTAGCATCCACAACTAGTCTTCCACGCATTTTTAGATAAAGTACTGAGATCTCTTCTGCATGTCTAAAGTGAAGTGTTGCGATTGACTTCCCGAACTCAAATGAGACGTTTTCGTTTTGGTCATTCTTTATATTAACTTCAATGGTCTCAAAAGAATTTACTTTGACCGGTACGTATTGCAAATTACGAAAACTGGCGTGAACGTTGTTTCCATATTCCCCTTCGATATTAACGATTCGTAGTAAAGGCACTTTCACATCGCTCACAAACTGTGCATCAACGATATCAGTATAGATATACATGGAGGAAAATCCACCATTGATATCTGCAGCATAGGGACTCGACGTTTTCTTTTCAATAAGTGTGTCCTGGTCAAATCCCAAGACCGTTGCTAATTCGCCGGTAAACCACACAGTTGTGCCGTGTTTTACATCAATCAAAACCTTGCGAGAACTGCGATTATAACTAAACTTTACTTTTGTCTGTGTTTCTTTCGACATGCCGGCATTGAGTGTTTTTGTTAGTTGGTCGATAGAAGAATATCATGTTTCTTTAAGCACGACAGTTTGATAAGGGCTACTGCCAGTTTTATACAAAAACGTTTGTTGCACTCCACGTCTTAGCGTGCTCCACGTATGGGGGTAGTGCATTTCCGTCAATGCGACTTCCCATTGCCCTGGCAATACAATTGTTTCAGCCAGTTTCACTCGAAAATTCGCTACCGTATTATTTGGAAAATAGGCTAACGAACTATTACTCGGTAGCGTGAGATAAAACTGTGTTGCCATATTGAAGACCAATACACAAATGAACACAACTGATAAGTTTCAAATACATTTATTTAATATCTTTTACACTCTCTGCTGGTACCCAAGAATTAAATTTATCGGGGTAGCCCAACCATTTTACAAAATACTCTTTACGTTTATTATGCATGCGTGATCTAAGTACTTCTTCGACTCTATAAAAATCACTGTCTGATTTATTCACTCTCTGAAGCTCTTGTTCGTAAAATGTTCCTTTCAATTCTTCGTCATCAAAATCAGCGATCTTGTACACGGGTGGGCGTCGAAGAACACGTTTGGTTATCGTAAACACTTCTTCGGTCCAATTAGGTAAGTATCCTTTCTTAAATGTGCGCCTTGCTTTGCTGATTCGTACTTGGTCGCCAATGTTAAACTTGAACCGAGCGGATTTGTCTGACTCTTCTCCATAAAGTTTTTGCCACACAATGCTCTCGTTGTCTTCATTTACGTCAACATGCCTCATCCCAATACTGCGATGTCTCGAATGATTATACGATTTTACCAGTTTCTGGAGAATGTCCACGTACTTGAGCTAGCGTGTTCTTCGCTGTAAAATATTTCCACATTTTCGTCTTGAGCGTACGATTAAACCTTTCGACAATCGATGCCTTTCGACAATCGATTCTTCAAAAAGGCTTGAAACTTTCGATTCATAAACTCTGTCCCTTTGTCGCTGTGAAACGTTTCAGGCTTTCGACCCTTTTTAAGTATTTTCTCAAAGGCTTTAACAAGATTTTCTCCAGTCTTTGTTTTTATCAGTTCAGCCCACGCATATTTGCTAAGTACATCGATTACAGTTAAAATGTACTTAAAGCCGTTATTGTATTTGCTTAACGAGTCCATAATCACAAGGTCCGCCTCCCATTGCTCGTCAGTTGCGCCTACCATGACACGGTTCCGTTTGAAACGATATCTTACAGGTTTATGTAAAGTAAACGTGTCTTGCTTTTGTAGCCATAGCCGTATTTTATTCCGCGATATCTGATGTTTGCCTTCGTCTTTTACGACCCGGTAAATTGAATCTACGCCGCCAAAACTTGCGAGACTTTCTGGATTGTAATAGATTTGGCTCAGGTACTTTTCTGCCATCAATGTCTGAGGCTTGAATTACAATTTTCCCTCCACAGCAAGCGGAAATACAACGCACTTTCCGAAAGATATCTCGAAGGGAAATTTCTGGAAGACTTTTACCACAACAGGGCATCCTTTCACCTCAGAGGTTAGAACAAAATGAACCATGCAGCAATCATAGACTAACATATAAAGCTATTAGTGTAAGTGAGAGCGTTATTAAAATCGGTGGTTTATTGTTCCTCTTCGCTTTTGGGATATATATGGAAAGTTCGAAAGGCCTCGATAGTTTTTCGGACATGTTCTCGAACGCTTTCCTCGCTGTCACTTTGCATACAAACTAAAGCTAAATAGGCAAAAATGCGACCAATGTTTGTCATATTTATTTCCCTGTAGACTTGGTCAAGGTTTAGACTATGAGCACCCACTGCACGATATAGATCTCGATGGTGGTCGAGAATTGCGTTTATATGAAACGATAAAGTCTGCTTATCGATATCGATTTCATTTTGTCTCAACTCGTCAAAAATTATATTTATATTATTCATCTCACCAGAGAACCTCTCACCATAAAGGTTAAAACTTAAATGAGAAATGTAAGTGATTTATCTCAATAACATACAGAACACATTCATGATGATAAAAACAATTTATTTCGTTTTATTACAGTTATTCATATTTCTTAAGGAATTCTTCATACGCTTCCTTAGCATTAATGTTAGTACTAGTGAATGTTTCTCCCGTGTCTTCATTCTTGTATCGATATTCTAGCGGGTCACTGAATAGGACGAATCCAGTCTTGGCCAAACGAGGTTCGATCTCTTTCCATTCGAAAACTCCACAGCTGTCAATCTGAGGGCAACAGTAAAACAGGTTGTTCTGGGTGGGTCCTTCTTTCTTCACTTTACGTACGGTGCATACCATCCCGTGCTTGCAGCGTGGTCGAGGGCTTTCGTAAATGTCTCCCCATTGCCAAAAGTTGCAAGGATCATGTCGATCAGAACAGGTGAAGAAGGGTCTTCCATAATTATCTTTCAATTTATCTTTTACCACACATAATTTGGCCAATCTCTGATGTGTTGGTGCTCATGTGTTGGAGCTCGGTGTTTCGCCACAAAACCAAAACGTACCACGAGCAGTTGTAGAACAAGCAGCTGGTTTACCGTGAAAACATTCCATCGTGAGCGTTGAATACAGACTATGCAGGTGAAAGGACACTAGCTGTATTTATAGTGATGTTACTGTATTGTGATGCTAATTGATCGCCTGCCACAGTTGGCCCAGGGATGCCCGCGTTAATTGGTCGCGCTACCTGTCACGTTTGGCCCAGGCCTGCCCGCGTTAATTGGTCGCGCTACCTGTCACAGTTGGCCCAGGCCTGCCCGCGTTAATTGGACTTGCATACTAATTACCTCCGCCGCCAGAGTATGCATACTAATTACTTCCGTCCCCAGATGGGGGGTATCACTACTCTCGTACATACTAATTTGAGATGATTTTCATCAAGTAAAAGGTACAGTGTGATTTATAAAATGTTTAAAAGTATTTTATTGTTACAAATTATTTAGCAGATTGCCATTATTTGTTACACTGACTAGCTCTATGAAATATATATTTCGAAGGCTATTTAATATATTTTATACAGTATGTTAATATAGTTAGCTGAATTTGTCGAGGAATTTATAGTTTAAATATTGAGAAACACATGGCCAGACTGTGGCCTATAATACTATACTCAGTCTCGCATGATTATTATTTACACTTACAGTATTATTAAACTACAGTTTACAGCAGTATTAACTTCAAATACTTTGTTTTTACATTTACACCCATGCCAATGACCTGAAATTATTTAAATGAGCCATTACTGTAATAACAGAGTGGCCAGGTTGACAAGCTAAAATCTGATCAACCTAACCTGCTAGGATATTTCAATAGTCAAACATCAGTTTCAGCATTTATTCAGCATTATTTAATGTTTACTACAGCTGGCCAGGGATTTGTTAGGGAAAAGGTTTATTTTAATTTAATTTAATTTAATTTAATTTAATTTAATTTAATTTAATTTAATTTAATTTAATTTAATTTAATTTAATTTAATTTAATTTAATTTAATTTAATTTAATTTAATCTAATCTAATCTAATCTAATCTAATCCAATCCAATCCAATTTAATTTAATTTAATTTAATTTAATTTAATTTAATTTAATTTAATTTTAATTTAATAACTTTGCCGTAACATAAATTACAAATTCTGGCAGAGTTCCCACAACAGCATAACGCCAGTTCCTGCGGGCCCAAATTACCAATCGTAAAACCTGCCCCCGAATCTCAAAATTTCATTATTTTGTTCCCTTGCCCCTACATTTTTCCTTTTGTGCCCTTTAGATCTCTAAAAAAATTGCCTAACTCTGCAGTGTGTTGTGTATAACCTTGTTGCCATAATTATTTTCTGACGGCTTCAATAAATTTCTAGCCTAACACCTGACAAAGATGGGCATTGACCCCTTTCACCAAATTTTAAAATTAAATTTAATGGATGATTTTGAAGTTTTCTAGATTATTGAAAAGAACTTTATGGGTACAAGAAATGGGGCAAAAACAGTTAAATTAAGCAAGATGCAAGTAACAATGAACAAAACCGGGTTACTGGATGGTATTTCAGCACACTAGTGGACATACAACCTAATACCTGCAACCTGTGTCACATTTACATAGTTTTACAATGTACTGGAAAAATAATGTCAAGGAATTTGTAGAGATTCAGAATGCACACTCCATGGTTTACTCAATCACCAGCATTCATGAATCATTTTATGTTATGAATATTTTTTAAAATTATTCTTACTTTATAGATAATAATATATCAATTTTCAATATCATCAATGAATATATAGTTACTATAGCTTTTTGTTATACAAGTTATAATTATATATCAGCAAATAATGACTGGTCTTTCTGAAATCCATATAGAAAGGTTCAAATTTGACTTCCACTACCACTACTTGATCTGGCAGTTGAATCAGATTGTTTGATTGGATAAATGAAACTTAGCATGGTTAATAGTTAATGATAGCAATAGCAGTAGTGGAAGTCAAATCTAATCTCTCTATTATTTTTTGAAGATTTGCTCTAGTCACTTCAATTCAGCGTTGCCCATGCAACTTGGTTAGCACGGCTAGCGCTCCAAGTTGGATGTCCAATTCTGAGGATTCTGCACATTAATCCTCGAAAACTGGCTTTGGTTTGGGCTACGCAAAAATTATCAGTCTGTTTGTATTATCCAGGCTGCATGGTTTTTTGTCCTACATACGGCAGATGGGACAGACCGGCTTCCAAGTGTTTATGTGGGGAATTAATATGAATCCTGGCTTACGAGTGAAGGTCTTGCCTGCTTTATGCGAGAGCAGGCTCTATGCGAGATTCCAATTGCTACACAGCATAATCTCAGGGCTCTTCCTCTGAAACAATGCTTGGTTGCGATATCATCCAGCAAGTGCAAAAATGCACTACAACGGTCAAGGATCATTTGGCATGTTCATCGACTATGTTAACCCATTGAGTGGCAGCATGCACCGTCGACCTGACGAATAAATTTGTCTGGTAGTATATATAGACAGAGTAAACTAACAAAGTACGGTGCATTGCCACTTAAAGGTTTAAAAACGTAATATCACAGCACAACACTTGTACATATACAACAGCAATCCTTTTATATATTTTAATATTGGTGAAATATCAATGTGACAATGTCCCATATATTAGGGATGTCCATGAAGTTGTCCCTAGTGTGAAGATCAAGTATTCGTATCTTTTGTATAAGTTGTCCCTCTACAAACCAACTTTTAGTCATTATACAAGATTTGAATTTGCATTCATTTGCTTCGCAAGTCGCAACAAACTGATCAAAGTACTAAACCATAAACCTGTGCAAGTAATCGAGCGTCTTGAGTGTCGACATATCCAAGTCTTTTAAACGTCTCGTACGAACAAATCTCACTGAGTTTTTTCTACAGAAAGTATTGATCCATTTGGTCGATCGCCGTACTTTGAGAAAAGCTTGAAATGCAAAATTCACAGGGAAGATTGAAGAATTCGGAGATAAAAACTGTTTGTCTTCGAGTTTCACCTTTAGCATTCACCCCTCGGTTAAGAAAAGTAACAATTACGTAATATTGGAGTCACGTGACCAGCGTTTACCAGGGCTACGCCGCCGCCTTCAATTCTCGGCTAGCCCTGGGTACGAGGTTGCACACACATGCTGGAGATACAATTCAATCTATTTTAAACAAAAAATAATTTAGAGTGCAACAATTGAGACGAAGGCGAGAACGTAAAATAGAGGAAAATCTGTCAATTGAATAATCAAGAAGCTTATTATAACATGAAATATAAAAAAAGATTAAGATTTTATTTAAAAACGCTAATTGATAAAGTACAACGTTCATCATAATCCATATATACTGCTCCACAACATAGTTGCTGAAGGAAAGAAAGAAGCTTTGCATCTTTCAGTTCTAACAAGGAATAAAGTAAAATTTGATGCTTGTTGTAGAGCTAAACCCGACCTTTGCTGAACTGTTTGAGGAATTAAATCTGAAAAATAGCTTGGAGTAGAATTGCTTACTATTTTAAAATATAAAGCAAGTTTGTGTATATATATATCGCTTGGTTTTTAAATCGTCCCAGACTAGCTCTTCTAATAATCTCGATTTACTTGTACCCTACATAGCTCTTGTGACCACCTTAACTAATTGATATTGTACATGTTCCAAAATATCATTCTCACTAACACAGCAGCCATCCCAAATGACATCAGCGTGCTTCATTTGAGGTCTTATAAGAGATTTATACAAATTTATTTAAAGTCTCCCTACTTAATTGAAGCTTTAAACCTTTTAACAAATTTATTTTCTTGAAGATTTCTCATAAACATTAAAAATATGAGTTCTCCAAGAAAGATCAAAAGGAATGGAAACACCCAAATGTTTATTAATACTAACGTTTTTGATTATTTCATTATTGAAATAAAGATCTTGATGACTGGACTTTATGCGCTTCACAGATAAAATAATGAAGTTGGTTTTTCTTGCATTGATAGTAACAAGCCAATCACATGTCGATGCATTAATACGCCCACGATCATTATTAACAGCAGAAAAGGTTGGATCATTAACTATTTCAAGCAGATAAGTGTCGTCGGCATAAGGAAAATTTTCGCTCCGAAGGTCGCAAGTGATATTATTTATGTAAACTAAAAATGCAGAGGGCCCTGGGGAACACCAGCTTTAACTTGGTCGCAATCAGATGACTGACCATTTGTTATTAAACGCTGCATCATACCAGATAAGGAACTCTTAATCCATTTAAGTAAGGGATCCCTTACTCCCAGAGATTCAAGCTTACGGAGCAAGCCTTTATGGCAGACTTTGTCCAAGGGTATTGCTAATGTCCAAAAAGATCATGAAAACTTCCCTACCTCGCTCCACAGCTTTATAGATTTTATGAACAATAAAAACAAGTTGATTTACTGTAGAGTCTGTAGGTCGGAAACCTGATTGAAAAAGGTTCAAGAAATAAATTTCCAATAAAAACATTATAAAGCCTAGCAAAACACGATTTTATTACAAAATTTTGAAATAGATCTCAATAGTGAAACAGGATGATAGTTCTCCTTAGACTGGCGATCACCCTTTTTGAAAATAGGTATAACTTTTGCTTTCTTCCTTGCGGAAGAGTAAATCCCTTTGGAAAAAGAAATATTATTAAATCGTAAAAAATAAGAACATGGTCCAATACCATGCCCACGATACGATACGGATGGTAAATTTCATAAATCCAACATCTACCATCGTTCTTGTTGTCGATTTGTATCCATTGTACAGTGCATCCTTACCAGTGGTACCAGTGGTAAGATATGGTTACGGATCGTTCAAGTAAGTTTACAAACCGTGAACCAAGGGTCATGCCAGTTGGGGTACCCTTGAAAATAATGTCGAATGGTACCAGTGGTACCACTGGTAAGATATGATTACGGATCGTGAAACTAATATTACCATCCGTGAACCAAGGGTCATGGCAGTTGGCATGGGGTACCCTTGAAAATAATTTCGAACTGTACCAGTGGTACCACTGGTAAGATAGGGTAACGGATCGTGAAAGTAAGTTTACCATCCGT